ATAAGAACTCTTGCGCTCGCTGTTCTCCAGGTATATTGGCAAAGTCATTCCGCGCGCGGTCGGTCTCGTAGTTCGAGGGGGCTGCGTCCGCGTCCGCGCCGCGATCGCCCTCTTCAGTCGAGGAGCCTACAAGTACACGTTGACGGCTCTGGCGGCTGTCAATCCCACCTACACGATTCCAGCGACTCATCGTTTATAGGATTACCTCGTTGGGCATTTGTGGTTCTGGTTACGGATGTCTTGGGAGCGACGGCGCTTATGGGATTCGCGGCTAACGTGTATGACCCAGGGGACCACAATCCAGAGCACTTCTCGTTTCTCGGGGAGCTCTGCGCGGCCCAACGGGCCATGGCTTGGAGTATTCAATTAGGCGTGGATGTATGGGCAGTCTGGGAGTATACCTATTCGAAGACAGTGTGGAGGTCTTGGCCATCATTAAAGGTGGTAGCGCCCCAGGGAATCACGCTCAGGAGAGAGCCCTTCTAGACGCCCTTGCACGTACCATTCGCATGTCGAACCGTGGTTTTATATCCCTGCATGTGCCAGGACACGCAGCTCAGCCGTGGAATGAGCTAGCCGATGCGCTTGCCACGATCGCTTCGCTCTCTTTGCGCTCCTTCGCTCATCCGCCCACGGAATGGCGATCGCCATTACCGACGCAGGCGGAACTCGCATGGGTTTGGTTACACACTATTTCTCACATATCGGTGCGCAGCCATTACCCACCCAGCCATGGATTTCAGTTACCTCAATCTATGGATCCTACTCTTGGGCTTCCTGGGATTGCTCCATGTCAAGAGCCCAAAGGCCTCAACAGGGGTACCTCAACGCAGTCCTATGAAGAGCCTTAAAGTTCTCGCTGCCAATGTCTTGACCTTGAATCCCAGGGCGGGCCGCTACAACAAAAAACAAGTGGGCTCGTCTTACCTGGTCGAATGGCCCATTTGGGCCACATGTTCGCGCAGCACAAAATATTTCTTGCTGGCACCGTCGAGACTAGGTTTCCCAGAGACGGTCACTCACAAGTGGGAGAATACACAGTTTTGCATGCAGGCGCAGACAAATGTTAGAGGTATGGGTGTTCTTTATGGATCCACAAGCGTGCTGTTTTTTTTGGTTTGCACGAAGCAGAGGGGCTCTCTCTTCTTGGTTGCCGCGTTCTTCATGCTAACCCTCGCTTGCTCATAGTTGCCATCAGAAACGGCAACTTCAGTCTCAATGTAGTGGTAGGCCACGCTCCACACAACGCTTCAGACAAGGACCATATTCGGAAATGGTGGGGTGATGCATCCCATCAGTTTTCGGCTTTACTTGATAGTACGATTCCCGAGCTTTTCCTCCTCGACGCCAACGCCAGAGTCGGGCCCGTGGTTTCCGAAGCTGTTGGCGAGGTTCAAGCAGAACCACAAAACTATCCTGGGGAAGTTTTCCATGACGTGTTACGTGATCGGCAACTCTGGCTCCCCTCCACTTTCTTCAAATCTGCAGGTGCAGGCGTCACTTGGAACTCACCCAACGATCAGAGAGCAGAGCAAGGAACACGTATTGATTACATTGCTTGTTCGGCTAACACATACGTTCACAACGCATCGGTTCAGCACGAAATAAACCTTTCCATCAACATTGTTGATCACAAAGCAGTCTGAGCGGTGCTTCAGTGTCCTCCCTCTGCTCCTAAGTTTCGTGTTCCCCAGTAGTATGCCAAGACCATGTGCAATCTAGAGGCTTTCAGTGCACCCGAAGCTGCAGCATTTGCTGCGCATGTCCGTGAATGTGCGCCTCGGGTAGATTTTGCGGTAAATCCAAATGACCACTGCGCAGCGATCACAGATGTTTTGCATCAGTCTGTTCCAGTTGTTTTCCCAGTGCAGACCACCTCCAGAGGTCGCGCGCAAAGGCAGGCATGGCTATCACAAACATCACTGCAGGCCATGGACCAGCGTACTTTGCTAATGAGACGTTGCAGACGTATGAAGTATTTTTGGGTTCGCAGCTCTCTGGCTATGTGTTTCCGTGTGTGGGCTGTCCCTACTTATGAGTCTTGGTGGAGTACGTCAAGACACATTCACACACATAACATGAGGTCCCTCAAAGCCTCCAAGGCCTGTTGGGCTCGACATGTTCTCAAGGCGTTCAGTTGGGCTCATCTAATATGGCAACACATACAAGACATCATGCATGCTCTCACTACGGAGACAGTCAAGGTCCCAGGGGTGTGGCTCTCTATTGGTGCCAAATCGAGGTCCCTGCAGTTGCCTTCAGGAGCGTCTTGGATTCTATTGGGTCTCCAGCGTCCTCAAGGAGCCCAGTCTTGGCTGCATCGTCTTAGGCGTATTTCGGACATCACATATGCGCACGGGTCATTGGCTATTAAGTTATCCACGAAGTTTGTTAACTTGCAGGTGCGCAACGATGCCGCGCAGCATTATGCAAATATAGCAGGTGATATTTCCAGCGCGTGGTCTGTCCATGATCATGCTGAAGCTTTTGCCAGACTTAAACGGATAGGCGCTTGCTCCCGCAGGAAGGCCCGCAGCCCCCCCCCAATCCTGAAAGGGTTCGACGGCAGACCCATTGAAGCTGAAGGCGACGTCGCACATACGTGGACTCAGCACTTTGCTGCCAACGAGGCGGGAGCGGTCATACCTAAAGAAGACCTCGCATGGTTTGAGGCGCAATTTCCGGCTTGTCCAGAGCAGCCCTTCAATGACTTGGTTCTTGCAGTTGATGATCTGCCCACCCTTGCACAATTTGAACGCCCTTGCAAGGTTACCAGGAGTGCTGCAGCAGGCCCAGACGGTATCACTAGAACTATGGTGGCCAAGCTATATCAGCCTATTGCTAGTCGGGTTTCCCTCTTATTACCAAACTATTCCTACGGACCACAGAGCCCATTCAATGGAAAGGAAGTGTTTTACTGGCCGCTGTTTAAAAGGAGACCCTGGTAACCGAGATTGTTATCGATCTATTTGGGGATCTTCTCAGCCGGGCAAAAGATCCAAGGCCTTACTCAGGGCCCAACTGGCTACTTACGTACCGGCTAACGCTGGGCCGCGACAATGCGGTGGAGTCAAGGGAGTTGGTGCTGACTACGCGGCACTTGAACTTCGTGCATTTCAACAGTTAGCTGTGCAGCGCCACCTCTCCACCCGTTTCTTGCCGTTGGATACGATCCAAGCTTTTTACAAGTCTTTGCGAGAGCTAGCTAGTACTTTGCACTGCCAACTCACAGTCTGCCGAAGCTATTCAGCACAGTATTACGCTAGCCGGTTTGCCACAGCCAGTTTCAGAGGAGCTCGCACATTATGTAGCAACAGAAGGTCCTCGATTTGATGCTATACGTATCCCCCCCCGCCTCCATGCTATGGTTACCGATGCTTATCACAAGTCTTCGTTTGGGGTTCCTGGCTGTACTTCCATTGCTTTCCCCACATTTGGTTCGGGACCAGGTCAGCAACTAGGGAGCCTAATCTTCAATTTCGTAATGGGATCGGTCATGCAGTTGGTCCAGGGCCGTCTCGTGGAGCTGGGTCTTGAACTTAGATTTCCAGTTCATGATTCAGGTTTCATTGATGTAGGCACAGACTGCTCGGGCTCTCCACCTACGTACAATGAGTATTATATGGGCATGGCTTTTTGTTCGATGATTGATTGCAGCCGCAGGACACGAACATAAAACCGATAAACCGATAAACCGATAAACCGATAAACTATTTCGGTTGATCGGTTTATCGGCAGATCGACCGATAAACCGATATGATTATATCGGTTTATCGGTCGATCTGCCGATAAACCGATCAACCACTAAACCGACTCATCGCATGCGTGCCCGAATCTCAGCACAGTTTATCAGTTTATCGGTTTATCAGTTTATCGGTTTATCGGTTTATCGGTTTATCAGTTTATCGGTTTATCCGAAATAGTTTATCGGTTTATCAGTTTATCGGTATATCGGATGTTTCGGTTTATCGGTTTATTGGTTGATCGGTTTATCGGCCCGGCGTTGTCGTGGTTGTCCAATGGGTAATCCTTCGAAATTCTCTCTCCTCTTCCTCCTAGTCCTCCCCTTCCTCTTCCTCCTAGTCCTCCTCCGCCTCCGCCTCCTCCTCCTCCTCCTCCTCCCTCTTCCTCCTCCCCCCTCCTCCGTTCCGATCCTCCCTCCCTCCCTCCCTCCCTCTCCTCCCTCCCTCCCTCACTGGCCCCGACGCCCATGGTTCTCCTAGTCCTCCCTCCCCCTCTTCCTCCTAGTCTCCTCCGCCTCCCCTTCCTCTTCCTCCTAGTCCTCCTCCGCCTCCGCCTCCTCCTCCTCCTCCTCCTCCTCCCTCCTCCTCCTCCTCCTCCTCCTCCTCCTCCTCCTCCTCCTCCTCCTCCTCCCTCCTCCGTTCCGATCCTCCCTCCCTCCCTCTCCCCCCTCCCTCCCTCACTGGCCCCGACGCCCAGTGCCCAGGCCCATCCAGAAAGAAAAACTGGAAAGGGGGGAGGGCGGGAAGGAGAGATGGAGGCAGGGGGGGTTGGATTCGATTCGGGAAGGGGCATTTGAGAAAAGAGGGGATGGAGGGGTGGAGGGAATAGGGATGGGGACGGGGGTTTGGAGTTGGGAAGGAGGGGTGGAGGGAGGAGTGGCGGGGGGAGGGCGGGGTTTGTGGGAAGCAAAATCTGGCGGGGCATTTCGGGCTAGGACGTTTTCGGTTTCTACAGCGCTTTGGCGGGGGTGCCTCCAGTTCCCCCTTCCTCTCCTTCTCTGGGCTTTGGGGGGGTCGCATTTCCCCTCTCCTCCTCCCCCATCCTCCTTCTCCTTCCCCCCTCGGTCTTAGCCGTATCAGGTTATCACTGTAGCGCGAGCTGCGGCGAAAGCTGCTGGCGTCGCGTGTCCTAATGCGGATCCGCGGCGATAGCTGCAGATCTGCGGCCACCCACACTATTGCGGGTCCGCGGCGATAGCTGCAGATCGGTATGGCCGCTTCTTGCGCCATCTGCAAGCAGAGTGCGTCAACGCGCACATGCAAGTGCACGGCCTGGACTTCGCTACTTTTCCATGCCCAGAGTGCAGGACCACGGAACGCCAGCTCCAGTCGATGGAGGCCGCCAGGTTGCAGCGGCAGCAGGTCGTCAGCAGCAGTGGGTCGTCAGCGGCAGCAGGTCACAGGCGCACAGCCGTCTTCCGGATCCCCCTCACCCAGGGGGGGGAGCGCAGGATCACCAGGGAGAACCGCCGCTCCAGGTCGCCGCCTCCCCGCGTCGTGGCCGATTCGCCCATCATGCAGCCCGAGTCGCCCGGTGGGGCCATCGTCCCGGCCGCGTCGCCCACTGGCACGGCCGTCGTCCCGGCCGCGTCGCCCATTGGCAGGGGGCTGTCGCAGTCCATATCCCCATCACAGTCTCAGCCGTCGCGGCCGCAAGGCCCTGCCATCACGGATGCCGATTTCGGTTTCACGTTCACTGACAACACGGCGGCTGGCGGTGACGGGGCCCCGGTGCCAGACCCGTCCTTGGCTGCTATTCGCGCCCTCGACGCCGTGCCGAATGCCGCCGCTTTCCGAACCGCCCTGCATCCGACGGGCTTATTCAACGGCTTGCAGGACGAGCGGGGGACCCGAGAGACAGCCAAGCAGTGGCTGGGCGAGATGCTGGCGGACCCTAGGGACCACAAGGAGGTGGGAATGGATCCCAGCTTCTCAATTCGGCTCCTGCTCCCGCGCCCCTTCCGCACAGCAGTCGTCGCGGTGGCGTCGCGCGAGGGTTGGCAGCTCGAAGCGCTCATGCAAGGTATCATGAGCAACGCGGGCTGGTTGGAGCACCACGCCACGGTGCTCGAGGAAACTGCGGATGAGACGCGCTCCCGCAAGCCGACGATTGCGATCTTCGGCGCGGCTATGCCATCCACTCGCAAGACCTCCCTCGCCCGCTTCGTCTCGGTCAGCCTGCTGGACGACACTGACGAGGGGCGGCAGCTGCAGGCTTGCACCTGCGGTGACGCCACGCTGAGAGGATTGTTGAATTGTATTTCGACGCATGAGCGCAGCGGGCTGGTCAACGACGAAATCACGACGGCTTACGACACCACCTTCAGCCAGGGGTCGCGCGGGTGTCACTACGCGGGAAAGCCGACGATGCTCAAGTTCGTCAACGGCGAGCGCAGCATCACTATGACTGGGCATGGGACCGTTAATTTGGGCACCTACGGGTTCTTGCACCAGGTGCGGGGGCAGATTCCAGCGGTCGAGGAGGTGCTCCAGCGTGATTCCATTGGCTTCCGCAAGAGGTTCAATACCATTTGGTTTGGCGAGGCGGCTGGCCACCCGACGCAGAACACCGAGCAGTCCACGATTTTGTTGACAGCGTTCATGTCTTGGATGTGTCAGAATGCCCTGCCCCAGCAGGAAGTGCACTGCTTCGATAATTTCTCGCTGTCCATGTATCGGGCCTTCATGAGCGGCATCTCCAATTTCATAGACAAGAATCCAGGCCTCGACCAGCTCATACGGGAGAAAATGCAATTCGCCGACACAGACATCCTGCGGTTGACCAACGTCGAGTTCCGGATGTGCCAGTTCTTAGAGCACACGTCGCCGCTGCGCCTGGTCGAGGAGGGGGCCCCCCCGCGCGACAAGTGGAGCTTGCACGAGCTGTGCCATGCCATCCACGCTTGGCGTCGCCAGGTGAGTCTGTACATCGCGCACACAAAGTGGGGCGCCGTGCACGGGCCCAGGCCCGCTCCCGCGGGGGCCGGGGCGCCTCGGCCCCGCGCGGCCCAGCTGCCCATTGACATGCTGGCGGGCAACTTGATTCTTGCGGATCCGCGGTGCCGTGGCGTCGTGACTTCTGGCGATGCCCTCACGTGGGTGCGCGCTCGGCTCATGGCTCGTGGCGAGAGGGATGTGGCTGGCCGGGTGCACGGGGCCATCCAAGCAGCAGCAGCGGCCGGGGTGGTCGAGATCATCGCGGGTGCCCCTGCCGCCGAGGACGGCGCAGACGCCGCCCCGCGGGCTAGGCGGGGCCGGCGCGTCCTCAGGTTCAGGAAGAACCCTTGGGCGACCGTTCTGGCGAACGAAGTCGCTTCCGCCTTCGCGGTAAGCTTGCAGCTCAATGCCGATTCTTTCGAAGATTGAGCTGGTCTCGCTTTTGCGCGGCGAGAGTTGCTCGTCGAGAGCGGCGCGGCGAGAGCTGCGCGGTGAGAGCTGCGCGATTGGGTGGCGATCTGGGCGGCGCGAGCTGTCCCCGCCCGCGGCGAAACGACGTTCTAGTGGCGATATGCGCGGCGGGAGCTGCGGTTGTGGCGCGGCGGGAGCTGCGGTTCTTGGGTGTCGAAAGCTGCCCGCGGCATTTTCGCAGCGGGGCAGTGGGAGTGGACTCACTGGTGGCTGCGCAGCCCCGCGCGCGGCCGGGGGCGCAGAAACGCGGCATCATCATCGTCATCATCACCATCATTGCCATCGCCATCACCATCACCATCATCACGATTATCATCTCGGTCATCATCGTGGTCATTGCCACGGTCATCATCATCATCATCGTCGTTCTCCTCCTCCTCCCCCTCCTCATCATCATCCCCCTCCTCCTTCCCCGCCGCGGCGGCGGCCGTGCCCAGTGAACCGCATAGACTTCGGTGGAGTTCCCTATGGGGGCACGAAACATGTTTGGCCAGGGCCGCCATGCGGCAGGACGATGATGACGATGATGATGACGGCTATGGTGATGATGTTGTTGATGGTTTCGATGATTGTGGCGATGCTGACGACGATGGTGATGAGGAGGAGCAGGACGACGATGACGCGGTGGATGCGTTTTCAAAACGAGGATCCAACACCAAAGGAGGGGTCGGAACGCAGAAAAGGAGGAGGAGGAGGAGCAGGATGACGACGAGGAGGAACGTAGGAGGGAGGGATCGATTCGAGTCGGGAAGCGGGCTCTTCGGGAAAGGGGAGGAGGGTTGAGTCTACGGGAAGCGAAATCTGGCGGGGCATTCTGTGCGAGAGTTGGGCTCGGCGGTGAGAGGATGTTTTCGGTTTCGGTGGGGATCCCTGGGTCCGAGGAAATCCTCTTGAGCCCTGGTCTTCGGCCGTTTTCAGAGCCTCTTGGGCGGTCCCGAAGCCGTCCAGTGAAGTCATGGGGCTCTATCGGGCCGTCTTGGGTCCATGCTTGGCCATATTGGTGGCTTGGGACGCTGACTTAGACCGTCTCGGAGGTCATCTCGGGCATCTTCGACGCCGATGGCCTGGGGCATATGCTCGGATTCTGTGGCCGTCGGCCGTCAGATCTGCATGCGGAGTGAAAAAGGGGGAAGGGGTGGATACGTGAGGGAGGGAGGGCAAGGGGGTCGGATTCGAGTCTGGAAGCGAGCATTTGGGGAACAGAGAGGAGGGCCGAATGTATGGGAAGCGAAATCTGGCGGGGCGTTTTCTGCAAGAGGGAGCTTGTTGGGCAGCCCCGAGTCGATCCAGTGAAGTCCTGGGGCCGGTCTTGGTGGGTCCGAGGACCCGTTTTGGACGGATTCGAAGTCGAGGGGTGCGCCACGACGGCGACGATGACGACGGCGGCGAAGACGGCGACGAGAGCGGCGGCGGCGGCGGCGGCGGCGGCGGCGGCGGCGTCGTCGTCGTCGTCGTCGTCGTCGTCGTCGTCGTCGTCGTCGTCGTCGTCGTCGTCGTCGTCGTCGTCGTCCGTCGTCCGTCGCCGTCGCCGTCGCCGTCGCCGTCGCCGTCGTCGTCGTCGCCGTCGTCGTCGACGTCGTCCTCCTCCTCATCCTCGTCCTCGTCCCCGTTTTGGCTGGCCCGCCTGCGGTTCGGCCCGGCTCGGCTGGCAGAGGTGAGGAGGAGGAGGAGGAGGAGGAGGAGGAGGAGGAGGAGGAGGAGGAGGAGGAGGAGGAGGAGCTTGTTAGAAGTCGATTGGCTTATGGGTACCAACGCCCAAGGGGGGACCGGGTATCAAGCGCCGGTGGCTGGCGAGCCCCACCATGGGATTAGAGGGGAAGAACCCCAGCATCGTCCATGAGGCTTCGTCGAGGCAGAACCGGCATCCTGGGTGACCGATTCGATTGCCACGCAAATGAATGTTCGATGGCCCGGCACATCAGACCCACTACGAAGGTGTTCCTTGCCCCCCCAGTCCCGAGAAGGGACAGCGCATCATTGAGGGGACGAATGGGATGAGGACGCTGGGGTGTCCTCCGACTCCTGGCTACCCCCTCATATCCTTGCCTCACCGTGGCAATCCGTCCAATTAGAGCGCCTCACGGCGGCTTACCGCAATCGCGCGCCCTTGACTCTGAAAGGAGGAGAGGGTGGAGGAGGACACGGAGGAGGAGGAGGAGGAGGACAACGACGACCACGACAAGTGATTATTAGCGCTCTCGCCTGGGACATCTTCACCACACCGGCGCATCCCGCTTAAAGCATCCGCAGCATTCTGGGATCCGATCTTCTTTGAGTTGAAGTAATCTGGCCACCATCGCCTGAGCCATCCTCGCACTTGCTTCCCGCCGAAATTTGCCCCGCCAGATTTTGCCTCCCGCGCGGCTGCCGCCATCGCCATCATTATCATCAGCATGACCTTCCTCATCCTCATCCTGAGACATCCTCGCAACGCTGACCTCTGATATTCTTCCCTGCCCCAAATTGTGCTGGCCAGTTCCGCCTGCGCAAAAACTCGCAGCGTTGACCTGGGATGCGCCCTGCCTTCACGTAGTCTGACCCCCGATCTTCCCCGAGATGCGGTGTTCAGGCCACTTGTGCCTGAGACGCCCTCGCACCTCTGACTTCGGAGGTGCCCTGCCCCATGGCGGTCCGGCCACTGTCGCCGTCGCCGTCGCCGTCGTCGTCGTGGCGGGGAACTGACAATCAACCGATAAACCGATAAACCGATAAACCGATATGTGGCACAAGGATCGCCTCCACAGGTTCCCCCCAGCGGTCTCAGACCAGCCAATCAACCGATAAACCGATCAACCGATAAACCGATAAACCGATAAACCGACGAAGAGAGGAGGGCGCGCCAGCAATCGCCTCTATGTTCGCATACGAAGATTATCGGTTGATCGGTTTATCGGCAGATCGACCGATAAACCGATATGATTATATCGGTTTATCGGTTGATCGGTTTGCAAACCGTTCAACCGATTAGTTTTTATCGGTTTATCGGTTTATCGGTCGGATGGATTTCCGGAAGCCGTTGCCGCTGCACTCTATATCCTTACTTATGTTCATGGGCAGTGCCAAGACTCTACAAAGCATCGCGCCATATTTAGTGGGCATCATCTTTGACTATGTTGCTGAGCGCGGCATGCGACTACACAGTGGCCGAGGCAAGCCAGCAGCATTGTTTCAATGCAGAGGCCCAGGCGCGATCAGATAATTTGGCACTGTGGATGCACGCACTTTGGAGGCACGCAAATACCAACTACAGTGCATACGGCCGGTTTCACGGCCTTGTTGTCCTGATCGCACTGCTTATCAACGTCTTTTGCGGCTTTCTCGAGATCTTCAATCAGGCCCTTGATGCGAGGAACATGACCAGGGTCCACCGAACGCATCCTCGAAAAACCTTCCAGGTTGTCACGGCAAGTGCGCGACCTCTCCTCCAGCACCAACTGAACAAGTGCTCGCTCCTCCAGGCGTGCACGTTGACGCTGAAAAACCTTCTGCGTATCGTGTAACGTTTAACCGATCCCCATCCCCAGCGGCGTGGCCTGGGCCCCACTGACCAATCTACCCCCCTAGATGGGGATAAGGTGATAAGGTCGTTCCCTTCGGGTTGTCGAGGGGTGTATCCCCAACTGGGGTGGTAATGTGGTGGGGGGTTCGAAGAGGATGGGGATTGGGATTGATTAAACGATGCCGACCTTCATGTACCACATGTGCTCGTTCAATTCTTTCGTCGCTGTGGACACGCGCTCTTGGTCCCTCTCTACAAGAGAGGCGTCCTCGGGATAGGCATCGCAATCGACCTCTTGCAAGAAGGCTTGCCTCTTGGCTAGGCGCTGCTCCGCATTCTTTACATCATCACGCTTGGCACTCTCGGGGCCCAACCTGTCCTCAGCGAGCTGGATGGCTTCACGCTCGGCTTGGGACCTTCTCTCTAAGCTGGCCCTGACAGCTGCCAGCTCAGCTTCCACCTTCTTCAGGAGTCCCCATGCCTCCGCCAAGAGATCGGCAGCCTCCGTGGGGTTATCTAGCCAACGTTGCAGCTCATCCAGGTTATCCAACAGAACGATGCAGACCTTCATGTCGAACTCGCCGAACTTGGTGCAAAGTCCGTAGAAATACTTGGATAGTAAGAAGTCTCGCTCTCGGTCGCACATCGGGCCGCCCTTGATCGCCACGAGGTCAAGGCGCAGATCCCTGTGCGACTTCACCGCTTGGTCGATACTACCCTTCCATGCTGTGAACCATTTTTCACCATTCTGGGCGAGCGCCAGGTTTAGCGCGTCTTGCGCATCCCCAGCTGGACCTATCTTATGCCCTTTGCCACGCAGTATGTCGTTAGCCGGCTCGAGGACAGGCTGGCCTTGTAAGTCCGCCGGCCCCTCGTGCGTCTCTAGGCACGTGAGATGCTCCTCCTCCTCCTCCTCCTCCTCGTCCTCGTCCCTCCTCCTCCTCCTCCTCCTCCTCCTCCTCCTCCTCCTCCTAGTCCTTCTCCTCTCCTCCTCCTCATCCTCCCCTCCCCTCCTCTCCTCCTCCTCTCATCCTCCTCTCTCTCCCCTCCTCTCCTCCTCCTTTCCTCCTCCTCCTCCTCCTCCTCCTCCTCCTCCTCCTCCTTCCTCCTCCTCCTCCTCCTCCTCCTCCCTCCTCCCCCTCTCCCTCCTCCTCCTCTCCTCCTCCCTCCTCCTCCCTCCTCCCTCCTCCTCCTCCTCCTCCTCCCTCCCTCCTCCTCCTCCTCCTCCTCCTCCTCCTCCTCCCCCCTCCCTCCTCCTCCCTCCTCCTCCTCCTCCCTCCTCCTCCTCCTCCTCTTCCTCCTCCTCCGCCCCCTCCTCCTCCTCCTCCTCCTCTCCTCCTCCTCCTCCTCCTCCTCCTCCTCCTCCTCCTCCTCCTCCTCCCCCTCTCCCCCTCCTCCTCCTCCTCCCCCTCCCCCTCTCCTCCTCCTCCTCCTCCTCCTCCTCCTCCTCCTCCTCCTC